AATAGTGCATTAACACGCACATAATTCTCGTAGCAGCGACCCCTAGCGCCACTACATTACAGCGTGATAAACGGATCATTTAGTTTCGAGCCATAAATAACTACGCTGCATTCATCACACCTGGTACCTCGATCGACAGTTTATTTCCTATATAATACTGCTGGCTTCTCAGGCACGCTTATTGCCACCAGTACCGTCCCTGATTTCGTTCGTTAGCTAGACATAAGCACACAACGGTAAAAATCGCCAGCTGGTTTTAGCTCCTGCTGTGGAGTGCTTTTTTAAAATGGCGATTTAAAAAAAAATTAAATGTTACGTGTAAAGCGTCGTTCAGCTATCTTTTCCTCTTCTAGTTTATAGCTTTCGATTGTAGTGCGTGAAAAATACTCGTATCTAGGCGACATCTACCGGTAGAAATGGACGGTTTTTTGTTTCAATGAAAACGATCCTCATATTTTAATCCGCTTTACAGCCAGTTACGTTTGTCCCTGCCTGTCTGGTTAACTCACGCGATTACACTAGTAACCGGTTGCTACTTGCCTTTTCAGAATATACACACCATGTTCACTCATCTATTTAAAACGTAACGTGACTAAGTAACGTGAACTTGTAAATTATTCGATTGGATTTAATATACTCGTTTAGTTGAATACACATAACAAAAGAGAAAAGGAAAGACGAATCGTTCGACCCTCCAGCTTTTCTGGCTGGTCATATCCTTCATCCGCGGTGTCTTCTACTGACTATAGTTTGTAGCTTGAGTTGTCGTATGCAGGACTCTCTTCATCAGCCTGCTTCTTCTGCGAGGTGGTAGTGACCTCCTGCGACGTCCCAGAGCTCTTGCACAAGCAGTAGATGACGATTGCAGCGATGATCAGCGCGGCGAGGACACCGAACGTGATGCCCAATATCATTCCCAACTTCGTCTCATCCTCCTCCGGAAAATCTTTGAAGGTCGCCGATACGAGGTTCGAAATGCCGCTGACGCCGCCCCTGTCGTCGTGAGCTCTCAAGGTTATCCATACGGTCGTCGACGCAGAAGAATCGTCTGCAGAATAATCAACGAGCGCCTTCTATAAACACCGAAACATTTATTACTGCACGGTTAAAGCGTCGCGGGGGAAACATGGGCGTTGATGATGACCTTACGTTCTGCGATCAAACGCGGGTAATAATCGACATTATCGTCAACATCATGCAAAGATGATGAAACGGGGGATTTTTAGAGGGAGATATACTTCGGTTTCGGTTGAGAATCGTCCGCGACTGCGGTCATAATAATCTTGATGTGGATATAGTCCCCGCGAGAAGTCTAGAGCTTTAGCATGCAACAGCTGCGTCGTGCAAGCCACAGCGTTCTCTAGTAGCAAAAGTAGGCTAATAAACGAGTGTCTAGTATCACATGTAGGCTAATGCGGACGTGTCCGATCCATCAACTCGCTGTCACGATGTTTACCTTTCATTAGAATCTTGACAATGTAATGCTCCAGCGATCCAGATGGTAGAGGAGCGTTCGGGTTTCCCTCTATAACCTCGGATTTGTTAACCAGAGTCTGCGATTCAGGGTCGAGCGTCAACGCTGTGAAGTTTTCACTCGTGATGATGTCGTACCTGGATGCTGTGCAGATCGAGGCATGTTGTAGCAGCGCAGCGTGTAATTATAATGGTCGCACCACACAGCGTAGGCCAGTGTTGACACGGGACACCGAACATGTCGGCACGCGTAACCGTTGTGTGTGTGTATGTAGGTGTGTGTGTGTGTGTGTGTGTGTGTGTGTGTGTGTGTGTGTGTGTGTGTGTGTGTGTGTGTGTGTGTGTGTGTGTGTGTGTGTGTGTGTGTGTGTGTGTGTGTGTGTGTGTGTGTGTGT